CTAATATTTGTTTTTAAGGCTATACATATTTTTAGTCGTCTTCAAATGTTATGTCATAAAGTACATTTGAAAATTGTTAAATATTTTCAAAACTAATATATGTTGCTCAGCAGTCACTAAAGTGTTCCCAGGCTTGTTTAGTGCGACTTGACCCAGGTTCAAATTATGATTTAATAACCATAGAAACACATTAAAACGAAAAACCGCTGTAATTTGTTTATTTTGTGCCAATATTTGCTTAAAACATGTCTAAACGCTTGTCTAATAGCATTTTATGTTTAGTGTTTGCATTTTTTTTATTTATTTATTTATTTATTTATTGTTGTTTTTGTTTTCTGCTCCACTTTGGCGCTCTTCTAGTTTTGCCTAATGCCACGCTCCCTGCCCTTGCCCCGGCCTGGCACGTTTTTGCTTGAAATAATTATAAACGATTTTGGCAACAAGCAAACCAACAAACAGACATTTGTAACATTACCATTTTAGCCCGACATTTACTTGTGTGTAGTACAATAAAATTATAAAACATTTAAAGATGTTTACCAGTCGGTTCGTTTAAGCCCGAACCGTGTCTGCCCTTTGTTGCCTCTTGGTGACAACATTTGACACAATTTGTCGCTGACGCGGCAATTTACTCAAAAAGAAGAAGAAAACGCAACACGCGAGCGAGCATTATTCAACTGGGAGATACCATAGACTTCTTTCAGCATAATTTTGATGTGCAACGTATTTTGTTTTAGACAAAACAAAAATACATGTGGAAAGTGTTTCAGTTGTAGCTTGACGCCCAGGATTTATGCGTTGTATAAGATTATGAAAATCACAGAGAAAGGCGGTGAAACTAGAGAGCGCCTAAGAAAGAGAATGATAGAAAATGTGAGAGCGATAAATGGAACAGTGGAAGGGAGAGAGATAGTCTGAGTGAGAGATACAGTGAGAGAGAGAAAAAAAAAAACAAGAGAGAGAGAGAGAGAGAGAGAGAGAGAAAAGAAGAGAGAGATTTAGATTTAGCGAGGCAAATAATCAGTGAGAGAAAAGAGGAAGAGAGAATTTTAAAAAATTACACATATATGTAAATATATGTAAATATATATATATA